GTTCTTGTGTCATGCAATGAGAGGTGACAACTACCATATTCAGCTGGACGGTAAGGCATGAACAGGGGTGCGAAACACGTATCATGAGTGAGTAAATGGACGGAACGTTACACATGCTGCAATTCACAAAATTACATCACAACGGACCACATTAGATAACACGTCAGTGAGAACAGTCATGGTGACTGGGTGCCATCACGTTCAGACCACTTTTAGAGACATTCCTGTCAGACAATGGTGAACAGTAGGTATGCACTTCACAGATATTGTGAGTGAGTGAATCGGATTTAACGCATGGGCATGGGATTGGTTGAAGATTCTTGAAACATATTCAGAGCAAACCCGGATTCGAACCCTTATGTTAGGTTTCATATACCCTGCACAGTTAACTGTCGCACCCCAGCTGGGCCATCTGTGCTTACACTTAGTGGGTGAGTTTGGTTTCACGCCGCACTCAGCAATATCCCAGCTATATGGCGGCGACCTGTAATTCATCGATTCTGGACCAGACAATCCAATGATCAACATCATTAGCATCGTTCTACGCAATTGGGATACGATGACATGTGTCAGCCAAGTCAGCGAGCCTGACCACCAAATCCCGTTAGTCGCTCACACAGTTTCCATGTGGGCAAACAAAACCCATGAGGTCTAATACTACCACATCAGCAACACATCAGCAACACACCAGCAACACATCAGCAACACATCAGCAGTGATATTAATGATTACAGCAGGAAGCAAAAATCAGTTCCCTGAAAATAACACACCAGTGTATAGGGCTGTGCAATATTACCGGTAAATCGGTAACCCGCGATACGATTATCGCAATATGGTTCACATTCTGCAATATATTGGGCCATCCAAAGTTAGCTCCATTTGAATTATCTGCCCTTGATTTCCATAGCAAACTGACTGACTGACTGAGTTTAGTTTTACGCCGCTTTTAGCAATATTTCAGCAACATCACGGCGGGGGACACCTGAAATGGGCTTCACACATTGTACCCATGTCGGGATTCGAACCCGGGTCTTCGGCGTGACGTCCATAGCAAACAAATGTGCTCTAAAAGTGCCGAATACACTTTTATTTCTGTTGGTTTCATGTAACATTTCACAAGTGGAAGTGTCATTATAAGTGGCTCCAAATTTGCCAAATAGTCTACCAAATACATTACGTTTGAATGGTTTCATTTGGAGGAATTAAGTGGCCTCAAATGGACCGATTTGTATTTGGACTTACTGGTAGAGCATTTTGTTATTTTTGTTTCTTTCATAATGGGGCATATGATACTAATTCGTAGAAAAATTGTAGGACTGTATAATGACATTCCAGTCAAGGATCTTTTTTGTGTGTGTACTTGTCAGGTTTAATTCGTGTTACAGTTCTCAAGTACAGATTTTAACAGTGTACATAGCATTTAAAAAAACGAAACAACATTGTATGCTCCGGTGATAGTTTTTGTTTACAGATATTTCTTGTTTGCAAAATACAATGTAGTCAATGATCTTAGCTATTGGAGGTCACATGCGATGTTAATCTCAGGTAGTTCAACTAAATCTTGCTTTTGTTTCATTATGCAAAAGTTCATGTTAACACATTGAATCTGAATGAATCACATACAGTAACAATAATTACATACTGCACTGAAGTGCATTCTGTTTAAACAGTGATATTTGGGATGGGGAGCCTGAAAGTATGGTATTACAGCAACTGAGAAGATGATGTCGCACACAGAGAGCTATTATGAATTTATGATGTACGAACTTGGGCAGAAACCTTCCAGTCAATATATCACAATATATATTGCAATATCTCTTACATTATTGCAATATATCGCAATATGAAAATCAGGGCAATATCCAGCCCTACCAGTGTAGCTAGATCTCTGTGAAACGTGTACTGTGCCACACACTTACAGTGAATAAGTTTGGTTTTACGTCGCATTTACAGACCCGTGCCAGATATATTCGGACACCTGACGTAATTTCCATAGACTTACATGTTATTTCAGTGTAGCGTAAATAATTTTCATGAAGTGAGTTTAGGATGGATCTTTGTAAAATTTGACAGGCATATGTGAAATCATCTCTGATCTGCGCACATAATCTCAGTTCAGTTTTCCGACCACTATTTAACTAATGACATCACATTTATCAACTTAGGTATGGTTCCACAATGCACAATCCCATAGGCCGCCATGTTAAAGGAGTTCTCGGTACTGTACATATGTTGATTAACTTGTTGCCATTCGATAAATAAGCAACGGAAAATTAAACAAAAAAATTATATGATTGTAGGTAAGATGATTCCTCTCAAATATACAAAATTTCACTTGGATCTTACGAAAAATAAATTAGTGAAAATTATTTTTGTCACACTAAATTAACATTGAAGTCTATGGAAATTACGTCAAGTGTCCGAATATAACTGGCACGGGTCTGTAGCTATGTTCAATATCGCTTCTGGGTGTGACGACCGCCTCCGTGGTGTAGTGGTTAGCGGAAGGTCGCAGGTTCGATCCCCGACCGCGTCATACCAAAAGACGTTAAAATATGGTACTTGTTGGTCCCTGTCTGGTGCTCGGCATTAATGGGTACAACAAGGACTGGTCGGCTCGGAGTCAGTATAATGTGTCTGAGTGGGGTACTCATGCTTCACTGCGGCATGGTATCTCAGTGGGCTAGCACTATAAAACCAGCTTAAGTCTGGGCTAGTACAAGCAGCCGCACATACACATACACACGCATGCACGTCGTGATATGAGCGAAATATTCTCAAGCACGACGTAAAACCCAATTTCACCTCACCTCTGGGACTGACGAGCGAACGCTTGATCCATAAGGCTACTTTACTACCAGGGCAGTGGGACTACCAAGGCTGCTGTATTACGTTTCGTCTCCGCTTTCAGGAATATTCCAGCAGTATCATGGTGGGGGGACACCAGGAATAGGCTTCACACGTTTTCATTTTTATTTTATAGGATAGGATATTTATATAGCCTACATACCCACGCTCTAGTACATACTCAAGGGGCTAGAGTGTTCCCTTGATCACAGATGTCTTTTTTTCTGGCATTGTTTTTTAACCAACTCAACTCCGTGGGGAGTATCCAACTCTTGCTACCTGTTAAGCGCAGCGAGTTATCACACAGGCTCATCCTCACAAGGTATCCGTTAGCAGCTGGGTGGACTGGGACACATAGTCACAGTATTTTGTCCAATGCACAGGGGCGTGTCTCGCTTAGAAACAGTGTTAGAAAGACATATAGGTGTATAGACCCTACCCTAGTACTAAATAACAGGAAGACAACTATATGTCTCTCTAACGCTGTTTCTAAGCGAGACATACTGTCATACTGCACGTTACTACTAGTATACCCGCAACTAGGTGTCTGCACGTATTTGTGTGTCCACCATCTGATCACCTACCATCGGATGAGTGGGTTCTTGTAGTGCACAGGGTTGTGTACTGCACACTAGGGTTGTGTACTGCACACTAGGGGTTGTGTACTGCACACTAGGGGTTGTGTACTGCACACTAGGGGTTGTGTACTGCACACTAGGGGTTGTGACAACACTGTAAGAGCCTGCAAGTAATGTTAGCTCCAAGGTTTTTACACCCGGTCACAAGTGGTACCCATATGAGATACCCGGATGCCTGCATTATTTTCAGTGCTAGTCCACTGAGATACCCGGATGCCTGCTTTGTTTACAGTGCTAGTCCACTGAAATACCCGGATATCTGCTTTGTTTATAGCGCTAGTCCACTGAGATACCCGGATATCTGCTTGTTTACAGTGCTAGTCCAATGAGATACCCGGATATCTGCTTTGTTTACAGCGCTAGTCCATTGAGATACCCGGATATCTGCTTTGTTTACAGCGCTAGTCCATTGAGATACCCGGATATCTGCTTTGTTTACAGCGTTAGTCCACTGAGATACCCGGATATCTGCTTGTTTACAGTGCTAGTCCAATGAGATACCCGGATATCTGCTTTGTTTACAGCGCTAGTCCACTGAGATACCCGGATATCTGCTTGTTTACAGCACTAGTCCACTGAGATACCCGGATATCTGCTTTGTTTACAGCGCTAGTCCAATGAGATTCACGTTTAACTCACATGCAAAGGAAATACAGTTGTAAACGGTGACCCGGGTAAAAGCGAACTCTCCCACTAAGACGAGCCTCTGTGATGAAGTCTTTTCTATTGTTGGCGACCACAAACCGAAACATGAGTCCCGTTAACCTATTCAGACAATGACCTACTTTTCAGCCGTTCCGAATTTTCTCGGGTGAAAGTGAAAAGAGACACCACAAACAACTATGGTTACACCCAATTCTTTGCTTCATCAGAAAATGGTATTTACAAGTTAGTTTTAATTTTAAACTTTAATAACATCGTATTTCTATATTTTATGGCGAGGTGTAGGCAGCATGACCTTAACTTAGGCGTCACAGACTGCCCCTGTTTGATGAGGTCGTACAATGATTCACAATTCATCTGGCTCACTGGTTACACCTGTTATGTATATTTTGCACTTATGCGTAGTTTTGTAACGCACAATGTGATTGATATAATATCAAGTCCGTACCAGACCGCCAAACTTTTCTAGAGGCAGACCCTTGTTTTGAGATTTCCACGATTTCCAGATTTCCGTCCGTCAGATCACGCTGTACGACAGAGCACGCTGCACGACGTGTTTGTGAGGATTAGAAGGAGCGTAGTGTTGCAATATACAAGTGTTTAGATGTATCAATTAATACTGATTAATATTTAGGTATCCAGCTGAATGAATTGGTCTCAAAACTCTGGACTAGTTATTGTACTATGTTGCGCAATAGCACGAAACCCAGTCAGCAGGAAACGAGACTGTTGTGTAATCAATGTTTTGACTTGTGGGACAGTTTCAAACAGTTGGCAAGATGAACAACAGTATGGCTGAAATACTGCTGCAGTCAATTGAACTTACTTCATATGAAGAGATGAATGAACAAATGAACACTATTTCTTTATGTCGATATAAAAACTGGCCCTTCACCAATGACAAGTGTATAAATCCCTTGTAAGATTTTAGCAGTAGCTTTTGGATGACTTCAAATTTTACATTGCAATTACCAGTGCAATCATATGATGATGATGATGATGATGATGATGAATACATTGATGACACAAAAGAAATCATCAGACAAAGCGACTGGTCAACGTTAAAAGAAAACTAAGTACATATACAAAATGTGTTATATGCAGTTCTCCTGTGGAAGAACATTTGCCCATAGTGATCCAAGGCAAAATGTCTGGAATGGTTTTGGAATAACCAGACATATTATGGAGTCGTGAACACAAGTGACACATGGGTTCTTCTTCGTAGTAGTGTTCTACATAACGTTCCGAAAACGGATGTAAAATGTCAGTTTTGGTGGTGAAATAGTACGCTTCGGTTACATATTGGTATTTTTCTTTCCTCTTCAGAATCTCGATGTACTCCTCGTGGTTGTTGTGAAGGTACATGATATGGTCTGCTAACTCTTTAGGAGATTTGAAATCAGCTGTGTTGATGTAGGTTCCTGGAGGAGCGTCACGGGTGTAGTTACCTCCCCCTCGGGCAACCGTCACAAGGTCAAGGTTGAAGTTGTTGAAGAACTTCTCGCTGATGTAATCCGTGCAGAAGGAACTCTCAAAAGAAAGATAGAACTTATACGTGCCGTTGAGGTAGTCGTTCCACTCCTCCGCTGTCGACCTAGAAAATGCACCACTGCCACAGCGGCCGTAGATATCCACTGGAATATATTTCTGAAGTTCACGCGCGTACGCTAGGCGTCCAGATATGTCTATGCAGTTGCTAACCGCCCAAGCAACGAGCTTTGTTTTCTGTTTCACCAATGAGGAATAATCACGATTCACTGTAGTTTTGCGAGTTCTCAACTTTGCGTAAGGTCTATGTAGATCCGAATCATATCTGAAATCCATTGTCCAGTTGAATACTGACTTCCATTGTGGACGCCGAATCTCATCAACGAGTTTGTCATAAAACAGATACATCGGTTCATTATTATGGTAGACCCACACCTGGTCGCGGTATCGAACCGGCTGGTCGTTTCCTATTATATGTTGGGCAGACATGAGTACTGCGTGGGCATTCGGGAGATATCGCCTGTTCGTCGTAACATAGCAACCCAGTTCGGGACACCTTCTCAGTGGAACTCGTTCGGGGCTGTCTAGTACATATCTCGGTACAAAATACCATAGTATGGTTTTGCCCCTATCCCCGAATTCTCTGATTGGACAATCACTGTCTGTGCAGGGGGTCCTTGGGTTTAGAACTCATGGACACTAGGAGGCCGGTGACGGAGAGGATGGCTACGCAGATACACAGTCTAAGTCGACGCCATCTGGAACATAAATATAATAAAACATTGACACTTCAAAGTCTTTGAATTGAATTGTATTTAGAAGTGGTACGCATACAGGGTGGGAGGTTGTGGATTTAAAAAAAATAAATTTGTGTGTGTTTGTGCATGCGTGCGTGCGCACGTTCTGTGTGATCAGGTCGACAAGAATGGTGCTTTGTACATGCACGTATACTTTTTTTTACCATACAGAGAGTCTAACCCCGATAGATATTGCATCGTTTGACCTAGTGCTCAGACCCTCGAGGATCAATGAGGTGAGGTGAAATTGGGTTTAACGTCGTGCTTGAGAATATTTGGCTCATATGACGACGTGCATGCGTGTGTATGTGTATGTGTATGTGCGGCTGCGTGTACTAGCCCAGACTTAAGCTGGTTTTATAGTGCTAGCCCACTGAGATACCATGCCGCAGTGAAGCATGAATACCCCACTCAGACACATTAAACTGACTCCGAGCCGACCTGTCCTTGTTGTACCCATTAATGCCGAGCGCCAGACAGGGAGAGGATCAATGAACAGATGTCTAAAATTTAGGAATGTGCTGGGCTCTACATCAACATATAAAATCTACACACACACACGCATGCACGCACGCACACATCTTTCTCGCTTCTGTGATCCGCATATCTGGCTCATGGGTGGATTGTTTCAGGTGTTTGTGTAACAATGTGTGTTTTATATCGTCTCGTGTTATCGCTTTATCGGCTCGTGTTATCGCTTTATCGTCTCACGCTATCGCCTTATCGTAGGTTCCCTCAACTATCAATTCTTAAGCAGCGAATCATGAACATGACTGATTCAAACGAGATGGGAGTAAGAGCAATGGGCGTCTGTTTTACATTACACAAACGGCATTATTTTAAGTGCATTGGACCGCCTCCGTGGTGTAGTGGTTAGAGCGTCCGCCCGGAGAGCGGAAGGTCGCGGGTTCGATCCCCGACCGCGTCATACCAAAAGACGTTAAAATATGGTACTTGTTGGTCCCTGCCTGGCGATCGGCATTAATGGGTACAACAAGGACTGGTCGGCTCGGAGTCAGTATAATGTGTCTGAGTGGGGTATTCATGTTTCACTGCGATGTGGGCTAGCACTTAAAAAACCAGCTTAAATCTGGGCTAGTACAAGCAGCTGCACATACACATACACACGCATGCACGTCGTCATATGAGCGAAATATTCTCAAGCACGACGTAAAACCCAATTTCACCTCACCTTAAGTGCATTGTGTACCATTATCTACACACTTTGTCAATATCAGATAAGTGTAAGGTTCGTGCAACCATCATTCAAATATTTAAGATTCTAATGTTGTTTGTTGTTTTTTAGAAAACCATGAAGACAGATATGATTTTTGTGTGTGTAAATATATATGTAACATCGTAAAACTGTTTTATTCAATTCATCACGTTTAAGGAGGATTATATTCTTTTAGTTTTCATAGAACCTTGTAACCATGGAAACTGCGAGGTCACCCTGACCTGTACGTAACCCAGTTGGTGTGGGTTTGTGCGTTCGAGTGGTTTGGCGAGGCAAACAGTTGTTCTATCTTGGTCGCGGTGGGGGCGGTAGTAGGGGGGAGGGGCGTGTTGATGGGGTCGTTTATGGAGCTACAGATGGAGTTGAGTTCCCAGAGATTTCACAGAGCTGTGTAACTGTTAGACTTGCACAAGTCTCTTAGGTAATAATTAATAGTTTACATTTTGATTTGTAAAAATACAAATATTGCTCTAACAGACGGGCGTCCTTACTATCCGTTTATCTAAACTTGCCTCTTTAAAGGCCAGAATTACTACACGTCCATGGGCTTAGCACTCAATACAGCCTTGGAGTAGGGCTATGTGACTGTGGCTGATTTGGGGAAGACTGTTGGTTTAATGTGTTTGTTTAACCTGAGGTTACACATCCTGGACAGAGTTCATTCTAGGCCGCACCCTTGCGCCATTCGCTCTCTAATATTTAACAGGGTACTCCAAGGCCAAATGTAGAGATTGCATCGGAATCAGGTGATATGCTAGTATCTAAAGCCTTCTCACCCATGCTGCATGTCTTGACCATGCTGAACACCAGTGCTCGGCACCGTCCATTAGACCACGTGTTTAATACCCATGCTGTAGGTCTATGAACTAGGCTTGCACAAGACAGTCTCTAAGGTAAAAATTAGTAGTTTAAATAATAATTTAAAAAAATAATACATAACAGCCTGAGGTGCTTACTGTCCGCCTATCTTCGATTTGCCTCTTCGAAGGATAGAGTTACTGTACATCCATGGGCTTGGATTAAGGCTTAGTCTCTGAATATATATAATTTTGATAGTAACAAACAAGCCCATTTAAATTGAAAAAGAGCCCCAGGGAGACCAGAGATTCAGAGAACCTGGGGAAATCTAGACTTGCTTCGTTTAGGGCTTTAGCACTACAGGGTAGGCTAGGCTGTAGGGAAAATAATGTGGTTCAGGGACTGTGAGACAGACTACCATGGGCTCAGCAGTCAGTGCAGCCTTGCAGCAAGGCCAGTCTATGAGCGGGATACTTTTTCAACAGTGGATTTAACCGTGTTTGTTTCCAGTAACCTGATACCTTATGTGGCTAGTTCCATATCAACAAAAATGTCTGGAGTGTGGGGGGTGTCACACTAATTACTGGATAACACGTTCACTGCTGCTAAAAGATAGGTATTCTAACATCTGGCAAAGGACACATAGCACACCTAGACTTGCAGAAGTCCCTAAGGCATAGGCGGATCCAGAGGGGGGGTGTGGGGTGTGGGGTGTGCAGGGGTGCGCGCCCCCCTTTTTGTGCTAAGAGTTTGTTAAATGACCATTGAAACCAGGGTGAAAATGAAATGTGCACCCCTCCTTTTCTCAGTAGTGTGCACCCCCCCTTTCTCAAAAAGCTGTATCCGCCCCTGCTAAGGTAATAATTAACAGTTTAAATGATAATTTCAAAGAAATAAAAATATTCCTCTAACAGACTGGCATACTGTCCGCTTATCTAGACTTGCCTCTCACGAGGATTGAATTACTATACATCCATGGGCTCAGCATTCAGTATAGTCTGTCTCACAGTCCCTGAACCACATTATTTTCCCTCCTGCCAAGCCCTATCTGCAATGATAAACCCTTAATAAAGCAAGTCTAGATTTCCTCAGGTTCTCACTGGGGCTCCTTTTCAATTTAATGGGCTTGTTTGTTTCTATCAAAATTATATATATTCAGAGCCTAAACGTTAGTCTACATTCAGTACAGCCTTGGAGCAAGGCTAATGACACACTGTACAGGTTCGGGCGGGTCGTGTCGGCGCATCCATGCATGTAAATCTGAACGGCGCATCATGCTTGGCAAGCATGGCAACTCAAGCAAAACTTTAGTACGTCTTTGAAAAACAACACGCAGGACGAACACTACACCTATTCTCGCCTCAACGGGTTTTGAGTACTCTGAACTCAGCCAATGACTTTCAATCCGTGTTTAGAATGATTGTGAGAAACCTGCAAATCGGTGTATTGAGAAAAACCAAGGCGCTTCGTAAAATTGGTTTCGATAGGTCGGTTTCGTTAGGTGAACCAATCGGTGTGCATGTTACAGCTTCACACTTTTGTTGCCATAGGGTACACAACGGCTGTAAAACGCCTATATCAGTCTGAACATCTTGTATATTTTCTGCGAATGAACAATGAACACAGATCGTAAGATGTGTATTATCCACAAGATAAACAATGTGTTTACGAGGTATGGATAAGTTCAGGTTGAGAATTTCGAACCAACATTATCCTCGTGTTATTGACTTTCGGAAGCTTAAACATTCATGAACAACAATAACTGTAAAACATGCCATTAACTCAAAACACAGCCCGAGAACATAAATGTATATGTCACTGTCATACTCATCATCATCATAAGGATCACTGTTCATTGTTGAAGTGTCCAGGTGTTTTCAGTTCAAAGTGTCAGGTTGAAAACTCAGACTTAGTGTTAGCTTGACTCAGAAAACTGTTCAATCAGTATTGGAATGTTCAGTTGAGTTGTAAATGAACATAAAGATTGGGTTCATTTATAGTTTATTTAGTCGTATGTTTCAAATACGTTTTGATGTTAACTGTTTTATTAATGTGCTGAAAATGGTTTTCTTCTTGACCTTACCTGGATTGAAAGTTTAATAAAAGAAGTGAACTCATACTAGTAACAAGTAGCGTATGGCTGGTCACAGCAATTTGACATGACCCACATTATTTTCTAAATGACCCACATAACTGGGGGCTGGTGGGCCATGGGCTCACCTTTAGGAAATGCTGGAATAAACATTGCAGATCATCCACAAGCTAAACCAAGCGTTTTTTTGGTGGTGGTTTGTCCTTCGGCGAAGCAGTTTTCGCGGCGAGGGGCCAAGGTGCATTAATTAATGTCACGCATATCTGTCTTAGGGGCTGGATTCACAGGGTGGAAGCGCTGTCCACACGAAATGTGGAGTTGCCCCAAAAGCAACCTCCATTTCCTCGCTGGACAGTGAAACAAGGACACGTGGCACAAGAGTAAAGGAAGGTTTTCCCTCGCATTTTCATTATTTTGCAAGTATATCAGGTTTTGCCATTTGGCAGAAGGATCTAGAAAGTTACAGATCTTTCTGTAATTGCTTGACACCCTCTATATTTATTACAATTGCGTGTTAAGCGAGGGCACCCTCCTGAGTATCAAAACAAGATCGCGGAAAATGATCGTTTCAACACGAAAAATAACATCCTCATCAGCAGACACACATTGTTTTTGGCTGTCAGTTCTTAGATATAGTGATTTTAGGTCTTCATTCGCAGCTTAGGCTTTAATGCGTCAGTATTTTTTCAATTATGGTCGAAAAATCAATATGTACATTTTATATGGAGTTGTTCACGTTTAACAAACAAACTGTCCATTGCGTTGTGATTTTACTGTCCAGGAGTTGACAGATTATAGTTTTAACCGTCAGGTGATCAAACGTTATTCTAGAGA